TCCCTGCCAACTTCTGTAGGACAGTTGGAAAAACCCTTCCTCCAAAACTCAAATCCAGATCAACATGCACCCCGACCCAGTCCACACAAAATCTACCCACCAATGAGCCCATTCTTCCCTCACTTGATTTTAGTTAAAAATAGGGAAGTGTTTAAGAATTGAACTCAAATGACCATGACATCCTCCCCATGCAGCACCCTTCATGGCCCAGGCATTGCTACTAGATCAGCATCTTCCAAGCTGAAACACTGCCACTTTAACTATCTCCTTCAAATAAAGACTTTCAAATCATCTTTAAATCACTTTTCTGTGATATATTTGGGCCATACGGGTAACTATCCAGAATGATGATTAGAAAGATTTCAAGGGCCCATGACTTAGAGGGAGTGGGGGCCTAGCGGTTAGGGCATTTTACTTGGAATCTGAGTTCAAGCCCCACTCCAAAAGCTGTGACTGCCACTCTGGGTCCCTTAATAAGACCCTTAACCCCCACACTGCTCCACGGGCACCGCACAATGGCAGCCCACTGCTCCCTGGGTTAAATGCAGAGAGTTAATTTCTTTGCCATGTTCTTGTAACAGTGTCATGACAATGAAAAAAAAATAATAATAATTTGGGTAAATGCAGAGTGTGCTCATTCAAAGCCACATAAAGACAATGACAGTCTTCTATCACCTAAGAATATCTTAAGGATTAAAGAACTAATCTCTCAGCAGAACCTTGAAAAACGTATTGATCTGTTCATCTTTAGTAAAATCGATTATTGCAATGTCAATGGCATTGCAATAATCTAGTCAGATCGACTTAAAAAGTCAATCTGACAGTTGCAGCTGATTTGGAATGCCTTTGTCCACATCCCCACCAATACTAAGAAAGTAGAGCACATCACAATTTTTTTTAAATTGTTACCATGGGCCCCGTATCTCAGAGAACAGACTTTTAAATGTTTTTATTAGTCTATAAATCACTGAATGGCTTAGCATTAAAACGTTTACAGATGTTCTGGTCAGTATGTTAAACTGCCTAGACATCTCAAATCTACACTGGATAAAGAGAACCTGAAGCAAACATGGGGAAGCATCATTTAGTTCATGGAATAAACTGACAGAAAACAATGAAAGCAATTAAATCCTTTGTTGCTTTAAATCAAGATTAAAAACATATTTATTAGAGTGGCCTTTGAATATGCTATCTAAACAACATTAGTGAGTTTTCAGTACAACTTTCCCTTCAGGTTTTATCAAGAATTTCATCATTCCTTTAATATATCAATATCATCTTAATTATTAATGTTTATTCTCTTTAATTATTTGTGTTGTGGCTATGGCACTGCAATATAATTTTCCATTTCTTTATCATTTTATTTACAGCACTTTAAATTGCCTTAGCACTGAAATGTGCTATATAAATAAACTTGCCTTGTCTTACCTTACCTCATTATCACAGCCTGGAAAGCATTGCTGTTTTGCACCACATTCTGACTGTGCTTTAAACATAAATATGAAAAGAGTTTTTGTTTAATAAGTTTTTGCATTAGCATTCAAATAATATTGTTGTGCATCTTAACTGGAGGACCAGCTGCAGAATTTCTGTCTTCTTCGTCTGATTGACTTTGTAACAGCCTCTCCGGTCATAATGTGGTAAAGTGAAACATAATACCTCTGTAGCAGCCTAAGATCAATGACTCATGCCGTATTAGCTTTGCAGCGTCTTCTCAGCATGCAGGGCCAGTTGTAGCTGTTTTTAAACCACCATTATGCACGCTTGTTGATGCCGCGAGACATGGTTAGTTTTTCTCTCCTTCATTTTTGGCCACATTTCGACTCGTTGCACTGAATTGCGTGAGCCAACTTTGACCCTTGATGTTTTTTTAAAAACAGCCCAAAAAAATAAGCTTTTTGTACATTCTCTACTGCGTGCGTATTTTTTCAAGTGCTTTGTTTTGACCACTGAGGATCAGATACATTTGTTCTGAACCATCCATCTTGTCCCAGCAGTCAGACTTCGGATAGGTGAATATTTTCTATACCTTTTACAGGGCTGCAGACAGAGTAGGTACCTGTCTTGTCTATCACCCCTCCCTTACCCCAAAGACAAACACACAAGCACACGTTTCATTCCTTTTTGTGGATTCTAAGCCAGTCTTCACTGGCTCTTTTGTTCCTTATTCCACGCTGGGCTCACATCCTTTCTGCTCTCTGTAAGCTTGCTCTGTCATCAGGATTACAGGCTGTGCTGTAGCAGATTAATGACTGACATCTCTACACTCCTCTCTGCATCGCATGGCACGCACAGAGTTACCAGGACAGCAGCGCGTGCCTGGTTGCGATGGAGAGAGGAACAACTGCGGGGGAGATAATGCATTGTGGTGGTTTGGGAACAATATGTTAGCAGTGAGATTCAATGCTGTTGTGTGTTTCTGTGTGCACTATTATATTGCTTATTTGGAAACCTTAGTTCCTGCTGAAAAAGCTTTCCAACCTTCACACCTCAGTACAACACAGCAGGTTGGAGTTAAGTCGGAGACCCTGGCCCTTGAAACAAGCTTAGGCAGATGCATGTGTCTATTCATTCGTGTAGTCATACACAAATGTGTACTCATGTATTGTAAGCCCAGAAAAAAATGCTCACAAGAAACTTATAAAACCAGGAATCCTAAACTGCTTTGCTAAATAAATGCCTGTAATATTTTTCCAATTTAATAACCTTTTTAAACCAAAACAAAATAGTTAGCTTTTTTTTTTCCAAGTCAGAGAGAAAAAGTGACAGCAGTGCAATCATACAAACACACCCAAAGCGAGCACTTTGCAAAGTTTAGAATTAAATTAGGATTTCATACCACCTCAGAGCCTTCGAGAAGCAGCTTATGTGTGTCATGAATTACTAAGTAGCAATATTTGGGGCTTCTCACTGCCATCAAACAGCTGAGGCTTAATTTCCTGAGATTTGCCCTGGAGTGTCCATAAAAGTGGGCTGTCTGAGCTGCTATCTTAGGAATGAAAAGCCTCTTTTGCTTAAATTCTGTAAGGAAATCTTCCTGGAAATCATGGTCAGGCTTAAAATGATAAATTGTGATCAAATGCATTTATATTTCAATAAGGTTTACTTAAAATAAGGCTAAAGAAGAGAGATGATGAATGACTAATGTTTTCCAAACCATCCATTCAGCTGTAATAGAACACAAGGCAGCATGAGGCTCTAAATAACAATAGGTCACTCTTTTGTCATGGGTGTATCCAAGTTCTTTATCAACATCTTAACACAATTTTATAAATATGTAATATTTATACACATGCACATCCAGTGCACAGACACAATGTATATACTTTTCTCTAAGAAATGAAGTAGGTAAGTAGAAATGAAGGTGAATTGTGTAATAAGGTGAACAGCTCAAATAACAGTGACCTCCTTTTTTTATACCTGCAGAGTTCTTAATTGATTAAATGCTCTATATGTATGATCGAATTGATAAAGTAATATGTGTTTAGCTAATAAAGAAGCAGTGACTGTGTTTTTTAGGTTCCCATATACAGTTATAGGAAAAAAATATTAAGACTACCACTATGTAAAGCAGGGGTCTCCTGCCCCGGTCCTCAAGATCTACTGTCTTGCAGAATGTAGAGGCATCCCTGCTCTAACACAGCTAATTTAAATGACTAAATTAACTTTTTTTGCATGCCATCAAATTTGGCAAAAGCCTTGTACAAACCATTAATTTCATTCAGCTAAATTGGAGCAGGGATGCTTCAAAAAACTCCAGGAAAGCAAATTTTGAGGACCAGGCTTGCAGGCTGCTGTTCTAAAGGTATATTACCTGAAGAAAACATTGAACATAACCATATTAAGAAAAACGAGCACAATCTTTTTTTTTCCCATGACTGAATACAACATTGTATTGGAAAACAGCTCTTACACTGTTATAAAAGTATGGAAATGAGGCACATTTTCATGTCTCTGAAGACTGTGGTTGCATTGAATGCACATCGGTTTTTTATGCACTGCTTGTGTCTTCGGGTGTAGAGGATAGAGTTTGCAGTGTTAGACTATGTCAGCACCACATACTTTTGTTCTGCTGTAACAGTTTTTTTGTTTTGCTATGTTCATTTTTTTTACTCTAAATCAAAGAATCAGCAGACTATATGGGGGATAGCAATGTAATGCTCTAACAGTGACTGCAAGTGGATATGAATTATTTAGAACGTAAGTTTGACCAACAAATAATTAAAACATTCAGCATTTGAAGAGAAGTTAATCTCCGTCACCACTTAAGATAGAACATCTGGTCACCTCTGCTATGATTTTACATTATGTTGGATGAGTGCATCATTGGAATAACAACTGTCAGTTTTTAGCACTATATGGATCTTAGAGTTGTGACGCTCAAGTAGAATTTGTTGATGTTTAGAAAAGTCCAGCCTGTTATAGCTGATAGTCAAATTGTTTTCGCAACATTTCTAAATGGATGATGTTAAAGAATATGTTAGCTAATTACAACCTATCCATCTAGTTTGATAACTGTGATTTCTTAAAGTAGCTTTTATTTATGACAAGATTATTCCATATCCTTTAAAGTGATTTACATGAATGACAAAAGCTGCAGTCAATCTGAATGCTGGTAAAAAAGAAAAAGAAAAAAAGAAATAGGTATGGTAAATAGCTCTAAGCATAAAATAAATGAAATTTATGTCTTTGAAGTATGTATATCCAGTTTGTACTGAATAGTGCTTGTAAACTAAGACTAGGATTGTGGTCACAGCAACTGCACCTAAAATTTCTGTAAAGTCTTATTTTACCTAAAATCTTTCTTTAAACTGTTAAATCATACAGTGAGGAAATCGATTGTTGTCAAATAATTTTCTGAAAACATCACGCAGCTGTTTCAAGCATTTTGCATGCCATATATATATATATATATATATATATATATATATGCAACCTTTTTTTAAATAAATGACAAGACAAGTGAGCAGCTGTGGTAAAATATTTTTATAGATCCATTTCTGAAATAAAGCATCCAAGCAGCTCTGATACACACAGAACTCAATTCACCATTTTTTAACAATTCACATTATACTTTCTCTGTAAATATGTCTCATATTTTGTCTGTGCACACCATGTGCATGTAGACACATGTAATAGTTTATTCAGTTACAGTACAATAAAAACTTTTAATTGGGTCATATTACATTTTTTTAAATATCACTTGATATAAAAGCTGGTGTTCTGACCCTCATTAGTCCATAAAAGAAGAATCTTCTGTCTCTTTCTTTCCTTATAAAGTACAATAATTTAACCTTTAATAAATATGGGCTATCTTTTCTGCTGTATTGCCACTTTTCCCATACCTGAACAGTAAATATTTTCTTAATGTCTCCTAATAGCTTCCTGCCTATAAGTTTTTTGGCAGACTATAGTTATGCATTTGCTTGACCTCAGCATATTTTATCCTGCTCCTTGATCAAAATTGTGAGTGCTGAATATGTATTCAAAACAACAGAAACAATATCTTCAAACTAGTTAAATCATTCCCATTGTGTTTAACAGACGATAACCTGATCTGTGTCACAGTTCACCCTCCATAGTGATTCGTTTTCATTTCAATCCTCTTGGTAACTTCACAGTTTTTTTGTTGTTTTTGTTTTACTCCACATGTGAAATGTCTTCTTTTTTTTTTTAAGAAGTATGTGTGGTGCATTACAGTAACGAAATGTCTTTTGTTTCACCCCTGGTTGCTCAGAGGAACCAAAAGCACTTCTTCCGGTTCTTCTTGGTGGTGGCAGGGGGTCGGACTAGTTGTGGAGATTCTTGTTGGTGAGGTGTTGTGGCTTGGGGGGTGGGAGTCTGTGGTGAGCCCTCTGGAGGGTCACCCACCTTCCAAGTTCGTACCACCTGCCCTTCTTGCAGACGAAAGTCATGCTCAACACTGCAAAGATGAAGAAAACCAATAATGGATGTTTGCATTTCAACTTACAAGAACAGAAATGATCTTTTCACTGGACACATGAGGGCGATGGAAACAACACTAGAACACAAAAAGTCAAATTAACCTCAGCAAAGCTCTTAGGATTAAGTTTAGAATCACCTTTCTATATAAAAATGTATTCTCAAGAAATCATAAATGGATTTGACAGTGAAAATGATTAAATTATTGCTAAAAATAATATTTAAAGAAAAAACTCATCGATATAAATGAAATTACTTTGAGTCTTTCTCTTGGTTCATGCCAAACTTTCCAGTTTGCTTTTTAACATTTTCCTCTTAAAACAAGTTTTAACGGCATATATTTACAGCAGAGATTTTTTGGGTCACTGTAACTCATTCTTTATCCTTCTGAATATTTCATAGCTTGGAGGAGATTGTTTTTATAAAGCTAGCTTTATGCTCTTGTCATTGTTTTTAGGTGCTGCTTCTGTTTCATACAAACCCTTTGAAATTATCCCCTTTAAAAAAAAAAACAAGTGATTGTGCATAGAGCTGTTTCATAATGCACATTATAAAGTTTTTACCAGAAAAGTTCACCATGATGAGGAAACCGATTTGAAAGAAGAGTTTGGACAAGTTAAAAGTTCTGAGTTGCCTCAGCTATAAACACATCAACCTCCATACTTATTTGCACCAGTGATAAAGATGTGAAAAACAAACAACCCTTTATTGCACTAAAATGACATCTCCCTAACATTTCGATAGATAGTATAAGATTTACTTGTGGTACAGTCAATGTTTAAATGTCTTTTTTAAATGTTTTTGAAGGCCATGATTGCTAACCATGCTGACATCAAACAGACAAGTTTGCAGAAAATTGAAGGAGCATTGTTCTTTTATGTATATATTTTTCACTGCAGCTGTAGATTCTAACTAAATTTGTCCCTGTGTTTAACCTATCCCGTAGCGGGAAGCCCAGAGAACATTTCAGGTTACTTGCAGCCCAACTACTCTTCCATGGAGACGGAGATAGCCTTTAACGATTCTGTGTCAGCATAAACTAATTCTGTGGAGATTAGGCTAAATGTGTTGGACTATTACTCAAACAATTCAATGACTTCTCATTTATAGTTCTGTTGAAAATGATCAGTCATCCTTGGTGTCCCCACAGTGATATCTATACATGTCTAAAATTTAAAATAAATCATGATGCAATGATATACCAAGGTTCTTATGGAACAACACACACACCCGCACACATTTATGATGTGTGAACCTTTCTGTAGTAAGTAGGAATTTGGAAACAAATTTGACACATCTTAAACGGGGACTTGATGATAAAGTAACACCATAATGGGCCTCATCAGTAAGTTGATAACATTTAACAACAAATACGTTACCTTATGCCATGCAATATGTTTACTTCTTTACTGTTGAAGCAGCTATTTCTTAACCCTTTTATATTAACCTCCAAACTTAATGCATATACTCTTAAGATACTCTGTCAGGGTGGTTATGTCACTTTGTAGCTCAGCTAGCCTTAGGGCTAGTTGGCATTTTTCTGCTTTTCCTTTCTGCCTCATAGACAGAATACTTTTAAGAAATGTTTTTGCATTTTCGATTAAACGGAATAGCAAAGGCTTTTTTTCAGGATGTACTTGCCCCTTGCTATGTTACCAGAATTTCAAGTTACCACATTTACCTACTGTTTTGGTTCTAAACCTTTTCAGCCCTCTGCAAGGGAGGCTGAGAGTCCCTGTATGTATCAGTGCTTGAACAGTAAAACTTTTCAATCTTATCTGACTTGTCATATTTGTCATGATTTTGAATGCAGCTGGGCTCATTAGGAGATCATGTGACACGTCTGGTGCCAAATAAGCACAGGAAGGTTGAAAAAGGTGGCCTATTTTGCCCAAACTGCCCCAAATGCACTACCCCTTAACTATCAAGTGTCAATCCCAATGAAGTCACACTTGCAAAGCCAAAGAGCGCTTTTGCAACTGTTGTTTATTTGTTAGAACTTAAATCTTACATTTCATTTGAAATTAGTGTGACTTATTTAAATGTTGTTACTTTCTTCATATTAAGTATCTACATCTTGCAACTGTATGTGTGTACAGCGGGACAGGTATGAGTTTAATTGCTACGACTGTTGTCATTCTAAAATTAATAACCCATGTGAAACTCATAAAAATGTAAAACGTGCTGCATGCCTGCACTCTCCCTACTTCAAATATGGTTTTTAACTGAGTCCATAAACGATGGATGTAAAAGGGGGGGGACATGTCCTCTGTTCATTTGCAAAGTCCATTTTGGTCCCCGGCTCTTTTTAGTGTCCAAAAATAATGTTACTCTACAGCACACACAGAAGGATACACTAACAATGGATTGGATGGCCATGGCAGCGATGTGCTACTGTATTTAGAACTGTAGGGTTGCAGGTCTACATCTCCACTTTCTTTTACTTTGGATTTGTAGCTCATATTTTTTGTCAAAAGTTTAAGTTGGTCGTTAAGAAGGAATCTGCTGCTGTAAGTTGGGCATTTGTTCTCCTGATAGGATCAGGTAATCTAGAAGGGTTCCAAAAAAAGAAAATTAAAAACAATCCACTGGAATTTGCTTCCAAGTTTGAAGACGTGGACACAAAGTCCAGTGGATTCTTTTTAATGTTCTTTTTTTTGGATTGACTATGACCTGAAGGACTAAGAATCTTCACCAACAATCTAGAAGGGTTGTGATATTAGATGTATTAATTTATAATAATATTTCAATCAATGTGATGTGTGTGAGTGTGTGTGTATGTGTGTGCATTTGGTTATTAGGCTCACAGCCAGGATATCCAAAAAAAAGGAAACAGTACACGCAACTTCTTAAAAAGTCAAAATATTAGTTAGTTTCATTTAAAGAAATGTTTAACACCCCTCCTGTAACACCTTCACTGACTCCATAAAGCAGCATTTCCTCTTTAAGATCCTTCCCATTGATCGTGTAAAGTATATTAGTCTTATTCAAAGTGCTAATAAATAAAAGTTATTGCTCTTTTATATTGTCATCATTATCAAAAGGGGAAAAATGAAATCTATGATTGTGATTTTCATACATATAAGCTCATAGTTATTTTAAAACTGTGTTTTTTTTTATCATAAATTTGAATTGGTGCTCCCCGAACTGTCCAATTGCTCATTATATGTATCCATATAATTTCTCAGGAGAGGAATAGTTGAAATGCAAGAAATACAGAAGGAAATTTGAAAGAAGGGAGTGTAGAAAAGGCATGAGGAGGGGAAGTAGAAGGATAGGAGGTTGGAGAATCATAGCTGAGTTTGAAAGAACAAACATATATTAGTCATGAATAGAAGTTTAAGACAAATTTTAATGTGATGTTATCTCCACCAGGGCTTTCAAATTTCAAACACCAAGCATGTACACTTTTTATCAGATGAAAGAAGCAAACTGGCCAGGTAACTTTTTTATTGAGGCTGGTGTACTAAATATTCTATATAAATGTATGATTTTATTATTAAGAAATTATTTCAACTAAGGGGTGAGTTCATGAACCGGGTGAGAAAGTCACAGGAAATGATATAAATGAGTTTATTTGGAATTTTCTTGTAAATATTATTATTACTTAAATTTTAACTTGCTTATTATTCTACTTTGTTTATCTCAGCTAGATCAGCCGCAGCCATTGGCCGGTGAAAGTTCAGCCAGTAAAGGAGCACAAGGTGGAATGGAGGGCCAGCTATGCTAATTGAGCCATATCAGCCTAATCCAAAAGAAATTGTAGTTCAAAAACTAGCAAACATCCTTATATTTCCAAGAGAAATGGGTTAAAGAATTTCCATGGATTCGTTACAGTCATAAAGAGAATGGAGTGCTGTGCTTTTACTGTGTAAAAGCATTTCAGCTTGACAGGTATTCATTGGCAAAAAACACTGATTTTGTATTGGTCTCTGCTGGATTCAGGAAATGAAAAAGGCTGTGGAGAAATTTACAGATCATACAAAAGGTAAGTCTCCTAAGCTTGCAGTTACTACATATTGTCCAAAAGCAAATCCATTCATTAGTTGTGCTTAGTTTCTAGGCGGACAAAGCTTAGCTCTCAGAAACAATGAACTGGGGAAGGAAATCATTCTCAGGTATTCAGGTTGGGATCAAATGATGAATACCTCCTGTTGAAATGGCTTGATTTACGTTGTCATGATTACACCAGCCCCGAAGTCCAAAATGAGATGTTGAGCATAAAAGAAAACACTATTGTCAGAGATATAGCCACTGAAATCAAATCACAACCAAACTTGTAATACTCCATAATTATTGACGGAACACAGGACATTAGTGGAATGGAACAGGAATCAGTCTGTCTTTGCTACGTTGACCATGACGTAGTTCCCCATGAAGAATTTGCTGGCTTATGTAGTGTCACTTACAACCAGAGATGTCAAGTAAAAAAGTACAAATACTTCGTTACTGCACTTAAGTATACTTTTAGGTATCTATACTTTACTTATTTTTCTTCCTACGTCTTACTTATACTCATTCCATTTTCACACAAGTATCTGTACTTTCTATTCCTTACATTTTTAAAACAAGCATTACTCATTACTCTTGGCTCCGGTTTAATGCAAAGGTCACGGATTAGCAGACCGCGGTCCAATGTTATGCCGAAAAGTGCATGCCTGCCGAGATATCCATCCCCAGTCGCAGGAGCGTGGCTCGCTCTGTAGAAATGCGACTGTCGACGTGGAAAACAGATTCAAATATGACCAATGGAGCTACTTGTTGTTATATTAATAATATAAAAATGTTTAAATATTCCTATAATTGTGGTTATTTGGCAGGTTCATTTACAAAAGTACGGGTGTTATGAACAACATTAGATCCAAAGAGTTTGTTCGAGGTACGGCTGATTTATTTGTTGAAGTCTGTTGTTCTTCACACACAACATTAAACAGCGATTAGCCGACGTGAGTTTTGAAACTGCAAAGCTTTGTCTTAAGTGGAAAATCAAACGTGCATCTACACAGCACAGCGTTCACGGACCAGTGTGATGCATTCACTAGAGTCAGAAAGCTATGGTGCATTCAGGAGCATGGGACATTTCACACTTACAAGGAAAGAGACATAAACGTAACAGAACTTTAACTCATACAATAATGTATTTATTCAGAAACAGTGTGGGCTTTCTTATAATACTGAATGCTCTATAACTGTAATTCTGTTATTTTCGATTATGCACATGTAATAACTTTTTATTCTAAAAAAATCTATAATAATACAGCAGCAAATCATCAAAGTTTTTCAAAAGCCTGTTTAAAAGCTCCAAATGAGGCTTCAGGTCATACAGCGACAATTGCCCTGTCATTGTTTTACAGGGCAGAATTAGCATTTGCTGACCCTTGTCCTTTAACTACTGAAGATTATTCAGGAATACAGTCATACAAGTGTCAACTCCGCTGAGATAGCACAGGATGCAATTTTTGGTATTTTCTATTTTTTTTATCATTATTATTTTTTTTATTCAATGTATAACATGGATGCATAAATACCTCATTTTATTTCAGTGTTAAATTCTGTTTAAAGTAACAGATCATTAAAAATGTCTCCAGACCTTTACTGGTTGATGACAAAACTGATTTTGAATTGTTACCCCTGGTTTAATGTTTATCAGTATTTATTTCACATCATACGTGTCATCAAATAAAGATCATTGGCACCATCCACATCTAGTGAAAACTAGTGTAATTGGATGAGTCATATAATGCAAACACTCATTGGTTAGCTATTCATCAAATTTGTGCTGATGCCAAAGAAAACAATCAGAAGCAAGCAGGTGTTCTTTAAACTGCAATTGTGAATTGTCTATGCAATGCTACAATGTCAGATTCAGAAAAATATGTTGAAATGTCTGAAAGGTCGGACACAGGCGAGAGCGTATCGGGAGATGGAGACAGAGACCAACAAGACCTCCCTCATCCTTGGCCCTATCTCAAAGAATTTTTTTTAAATAGTCGAAAAATTTAGCTTTCAATTCATATAGTGGCATCTGGCTGTTTCTCTTAAAGGTTACTTTATACTTTTATACTTTAAGTAGTTTTTGGAGCACATAGTTTTTCACTTTTACTTGAGTAAAGAGGTCAAGTTGATACTTTAACTTTTACCAGAGTGTTTCTAAACTGCAGTATCTAAACTTCCACTTAAGTAACAAATGTGTGTACTTTTGACACCAGTGCTTACAACTGGGGAATACCTAACAAAGGTTGAAAATGGTGTGTTGCTTTGTCTCAATTTGTCTCTCAATGGAATCAGGGACCAGAAATAATGAACCTGCTAGCTCACAGGCCTATCTTTCACAGGCACCACCACTGGCACTGTTCAGAAATTATGGTCTTCATTGTGTTCATTTAATAACACAGTCAACTTCTGTAGCTTCACCTGTTGCCCGTGATGCTCTGCAGTGGGTCCATGAATTGAGGCATCTGAGTTTCAGGAAAGTTCAAGACCCTCTTCTGCAACATTGCTACATCTGAATATGGATAATTGACCACACTGAAGCCACTGTGTCCTACTCGGTGGACTGTGTGAGTAGCAGCAGTCCATTTACTCCTCTCACTGAGTAGATGGCTTCAACTGGTGGCTCTGAAACAGCTACGAAGGCTTCAAGAATTCAAGAAAGGGAACACAGTGCTGGGACTCTATCTTGCTTTGAAAGTTCTTGAAGAAATGGAATGCCACAAAAAAAATCACTACAAAAGCAAACCATCACAGTTACAGGCAAGCTGACTGCAGTAGATTATATCAAAACAACTAGGGCCTCCAAAACATCAAAGCTGCAACAAATGCTCCAGCAGCTTCTGTTGATTACTTCAGAGGGATGTTCTTCAAGATGCTTGATGCATCAAATGAGCAATGCAAAGAACAGTTTCATCAAAAAAGTCTTGAAGTTCTGGAGGAGTTGGAGAATGTCTTGGAAAAGTGATGTTATTGTGGGCCAATACCCAGAGACTAACAAGAGGATGCTGGATGTGCAGCTACTGTAGCCAATTTTAAATCAATGAACATCAAGCACAGAAGCTGCAGACATTCTTAGATGCATTACACCTGAAGTAAGAGGTCTTTTTGATCAGGTGGAGGTCCTTGTGATGCTGTTGTTGGTTGTTGCAGCATCATATGCTGAAGTTTCAGAGCACTGAGGAGGTTAAAGACAAGGCTTAACAACTGCATAAAGCAGCAGCTGTCTTAAGAATATGGCAGTTTGTCACATACATCAAGAAAGAGTCGATGCTTTTGACAGAAAAAAAACACCCTTATATGGTCTTACTGTTTACTTTCATCTCATAAAAGCTGTTCAATTGTTCTCTGTTAAACTAATTTCAAATAAAATGTGAGACTTGATTTCAAACACTGAATAATGGACATTTTAGTATTTATTATTTTCCAAACAAATAAACTCATAAAAAAATGTTCACTGTTTGCTGACATGAAATTAATCATTTTCCCCTTTCTTGAAAATAAATGTATAAAGTCCAATGAAATTGTTTCTAGGAGGAACTTCACTTTTGGAATTAATTATGTCTTTTCTCTTTTTTTCTAATTTGTGACTTTCTGTCAGTGTAACAAAGATTCAGGAAACCATTGGAGCTTCTATTCTATTTCCCTCTCCAATTAGTCTGCCGTTTCACCCGCAGCCAAATTCCAACCCACCACAGGGTTTGGGACGGCCCTTAATATAGAGCAGGTTAGTTCATAGGGGTAGTGTATAGGAGCTAGTTTGGGACTGGGCCATCAACATGAGTGTAGCAGAGCCAACATGCACAAAAACTATCAAACCAAGGGAAAAAAATAAACAGGGAACTTACATAAATAAAAAGTATAAACAACAGAACAAAGGAGTAATTTAGGAACTAAATTAATACATTTTGATAATGCATACATGATAAACACAGGAATAACAGCAAATGCCATGGTCTATAAAACATAATAAATCAACAAAAAAGCAATTAATTACTACATGATTATGTTCAAGTACCAGTACCTTCCGTCATGTTTACATCTGTGATGGTCAACTTAAACAAATTACTATTTTTTTTGTCTTTAAAAGGCAGGTTTGCATGCAGATAGTATACAATGTTATGCTATATAACATATGTAATTTAATGTTATAAACATTTTAATAACAACAAGTACTTTTGCCAGATTTTTGTTATGTGAAAACTATAGAAATAAGTCCCTGTCCTACAGTATTTGTCAAAGTTATCAGTTGTTATGAACAATTATTTTTGTACTTATTGTAAATATAGATGTGTTCTAGTAGCCCACCTGTTCTTCTCATAGCTTCTGTTGTATTTATGAAAATTTTAAAAATCTGTTGAATTTAGTGTGTTTTACCTAATAAGGTTATCTACTGTGTAGCGGGGACATGACATGACAAATGGTGTTTCCAAAACTCATGGTAACAAGCTTTACTTCATGCTTGATTTTGCAGTGTTAAACATTTAAGCTCTTTACATGCAACCATCTAAAAAAAAATCAAACAAAAGGTCTTGAAGCCTTAATGAACTTCACAGAATTTATTCATGACTATTACTGTAGGTTTCCTTTTTTCCTTGACAGACAAAAAAAAAAGTTAAATAATGGCATGTTTAAATACATATTGTGGCATTGAAGGGTTTTTGGCACTTCACCTACTTCCAAGATGCATGGAGAGGGACAAAGGTCTTGTTATGCGAGGACCTGTCTGTTGACCTGTAGGAAAAATGAAGGTTGCCACTTTAACTGGTAAACAAAGTGTATTTCTACAAGATAAAGCCATGATTGTCAACCACCCAGATGTGGGAGTCTTTCTCATTTAATCAGCAGCCTACTTAAAATGAAATTGCTCCTTGAAAATATAACTTAATTTAGATTCACCCCATCCAGTGTACAAAAACAAAACACTGGTTATCTTTTAGGGCAAACCTGTTTTCTGTTTGAAATTTGGCGATGAGTCCTGTAGCTAGCAACAGTTGGGACTCATCTATAAATTGCTTTCATCAGAGTGGCTGTTCATTTAGAGCAAGAGAAAATCATTTATCTTAATTTTTTCTGGGTTACATTGCCCTGAAAACAAAAGCAAAAAGAAAACACCCAATAACCAAACATATTTACCAAGAAGAGTAATAAAAATATATTAACAGCCCTGAAGAACAGAGTAGAAAACGTAGGGATCATCCAAGAAAGTTTTTGCATTTACTGCATCTGTCTCAATCCTCTATTGTTTCAGTTGGTAATGTATCAGTTTTTTTTATTTTTTCCTTAGTTTAGTCAGATAATTGTTCACAGACAAAAAAAGTCTATAAGCTAGCTTAAAACTGATATGAAATGTTCAACTATGTAAGCTTTAAATTGTCACTTTCATTTAAACCATGTAGGTCTAAAAGGAAAATGGTTTACATCTCCTATCCCAAAAATTCAAACTCTTTTTTTTTCAGTACATTTATTTACAACGAAGATTGTGAATTATTGGATGAGTCAGGCTGTGCTTAAAGGCTTTTTATGTCAAAACATTTTCAGAAGGGTGGAAATCTTAACTCTTTGAAGTTAAAACTAAGATTATTATGCTCCAGTTTTCTATCACAATAACAAGCTGATCAATTCAACACAAAGAACTCGTTATCAGGGTTGAATCTTGTGTAGAAAAAAAAAATTCTGAATAATATGCCTTTTATGTCCTTGGTAATGTTTTCAAGTGTTGTTTTGTAAATCTCTTTGGAATGTACCTCTGCTGTTAAAGCAATTCATGAATAATTCTACAGTATTATATAGAGTTCACCTTGATCAGATATCTCATTCAGAGGAAGAGGAGGTATAGGGCATGGAGGTCACACCCTGGACAGGTCACAGATCCATCACAGGGCAACACATAGCCATACAACCATGCACACTCAGACTCACACCTAAGGACAATATAACCTAACATGTTTTTGGACTGGAGTAGAGAAGCCACGCATGCACTGAAAGACCATCTAAACTCCAAGCAAAAAGACCCTAGGCCAAGATTCAAACCCAGTACCTACTTGCTGCAAGAACATACACCTTCAAAATGCACTACCTTGCAGCTCATCTAATTTCATACTTTATGTAAGAAATACTGTCATGTTTTACGCCTAAATTAACTCTTTGGTGTCTAACACATCATTTGTTTGAATTATTTGTTTTATGTAGTTGTTTACATTGATAGATCAGACAACTTCAATTCACTGTACAAGCAAAGTACAGTTCTGACATCATCCCTTGTTTGTTTTTAAAAAACACTACAAAAAAACAAAAAACAAAACACAAAGTCTAGTTCTGTCAAGATTTATATATCTATCTACTGTATTACTAATAAATTATTTTGGGGCCAAACATAATCCAGGGTTTTGCGCCTTGGAGCAATTGGAACAATTTACCATAAAGACCCCATATTGGGCTTGTATCTATGCAAGTCTGGCTTTTAAAAGGAAAATTTCCCCCATTAACCCAAAGTCTAACGGTGCAAATTAGAGGCTATCTACCCAAAAACTGATTATTCACAAATAGCATAAGGATAAAGAAGCAGAAAAAGAAAATTCTGAGCAACAGCCTCCTCCCAATAGAGAAAGATTTGATTTCATATAAAGATAATATGGGCCTAAATCATCCAGAACATTAAGGAATGGATACAATTCTGAAACATCATTAGTAGAAGTCTGAAGTCCAACCATTTGTCATTGCTGACTCTATTAAGTCACTGCTATACACTTTTCCTGTATGTTTTTCACTTTTTATGTTCTATTCATGCACCATATTGAAATTTGCCTTACAAATAAACTTCCCTTGCCTGGTTAGGTAGTACTGCATGTAATTCATTCAAGATTTAAAGACACTGATGAATCCCGCATCAGGCACCTTCTTGTAGACCCTAATAAAGCCTTTGAAAAGAACAAATCCAGAGCAGAGATGCTGAGTATCATCGAATAGGTACTGTACTACACTATAGATTCTGGGGTTGCAGTCGACACTAGACTCCAAAACAATAAGTCAGCAAGGTGCACTAATAGTCACGTGGCACTAAAGCCTCGGGGCTTTACTGACAAACTGAGTTGTGGGCTTTGATGCGCTGCCTTGAAAGTCATCAGTAAAGGTAAGCAATAATAAATGAATGCATCTGCAATAGAGGAAGAAGGGAAATACTTGCTTGCTGACTTAGTTTTGTCAGCAGTTGCATGTTTAGTAACAGATTCTCTCCCCTCCTTTCTTTATTATTCACTTTCCTCTTCTGCTATTTTTGCTTATTATGCAGTGGCCTAGTTAGCTGCTGTTTCTCATCACAGCACAGATGCTGGAAATAAAGAGGACTCCCTCGATAATGATACAAGGAGAGAAATGTTGCAGAGGAAGAAACGAGGGCTGAGCTCAGAGGCAGCGGGAACTAGAGTTTTTTTTAATGCAAGAACAATACGGACTCTACGATCATATCCAACTCACTCAAAAACTCCCACTCATACAGTCACTCAGCCACTTCACTATGGATGTCCACTTCTATTCTAATGCACAACAGACATAATGAATCCTAAAACTTTAGATTTCAGCACATTACAAGAGGAGTGGATGTGGACAAAGTAAACGGGAGGAAAGTCTAGAGGTTCAAAGAGCAGTGGAGAGAATTTCTTTGCCTCTCATTTACAACAACAACACAAAACACCCACCTTAGCTAAACTCCTGCAGATATGTGGAAAAAAATCCCTCCATAGTTGTGTAAAATGAGGCAATAGTCTGTGGAGAAACAAGTCATAAACGTTTCTGTGGGGTTGTAGTGCAATGAAATGAACCGAATAAATAAAATATATGATTCCCTCATCCCCACTGCCACTCTATTTGTGCCACTATACACAGAGCTCCCTGAAGGTGTCCTCTGACTCGTCCCCTTCCTCTGGTGAGTTCCCTCTTTGTGAAAATGAATTGCCTCGGACCACAGTAATGTGTGATCAAGGCACAGGGGCTCCACAGGGGGGACTTCCCACCCTCAGCCTTAACTATCTACTTAGAGTTCACAAACTGTGCCAGGCAGGATGCTGTGAACCATACATAGGTTTCCCCACTGCTCCTCTTTAGAGCGCTGCTCACATCTCTGTGATTTTCACCTCCAGGCTTTTCACAAACTCATGTCCCGCCTGCGGGCAAGCTAGTTTTGCAAATCACAAGACCTGGTATTTCAGATGCAGACTTACATGATCCAGACATAAGCAGTAGAAACTTGAAGGGCATATCCAAGTAAGCTTTAACATTAATTAAAAAAAAGGTGAAAAACATTTGGTGGTCAAATCATGGTTTTGGGCCAAGGTTTTGAAAGAGAACTCTCCAACGTGCGGAAGAAACATGAAACAAAACTTTTCTTGGCCAATTAACGGGTGACTTGAGCTCATCACCTTTCCTAGACTGACATATAAAATTCACCACTGAGGTATCTCATGATTTTAACAAATTTCTTTACTCCTGTTTCAAAATATTTCATAGTAACATTTTACATATTAAATGTCAATATTCAAAGTTATAAGTATTCCAATATCTTCTAAAACTGCTCCAAATGTCCTAATTAGCAACCTTATTAATGTCATATAAAGAATTTATTTCCATACTCAAATATACTTTCTTGAGCACAATAGTTTACCAAACTCATATGCTTCTCATATTTTCTAAAATATTCATGAAAAGCGTATCCCCACTTCCCTCAATTCCCCTTGATTCTTTGGGCTTTAGACTGCTGGAGGACATAGGGATCCCTATTTCATTATTCTGCTTCATTCCATCTCTATGCTCCCATTCTGCAGTATTTGTTAGTTCAATCTCTAGCGTTATGCTCTCTCTGCTTTTTCTCGTCATAGTAGCTTCATCTGGCCTGGAGAGAAATATCAGCTGTGCTGCTGCCATCAACACCTTTGTTTATAGCAGAGGTGGAAAGTAACGAAATACATTTACTCAAGTTACTGTATTGAGTAGGTTTTTTGTGTATTTTGTATTTTTTAAGTAGTTTTTAATTAAATTTTACTTGATTACGTTTTGAGTGAAGTATTGTATTTCGTTACATTACAAATCCCATCCGTTACTGAGTTAAAAAAAAACTTTGGAAAACCGAAAGGAAGACAAAAAATCGAGCCCGGAAGCACTGCAGTGAGTGACGTGATCAGCATGTAGATCTAGGCTACCAGGCGCCAAGTCTTTCTGTAGGAGATTGGGAACGAGATGGAGGTGGATCAGGAGAGCGACGACGGTTCAGAGAACGTTTCACTAGAAATGCTAGCTGAAACATTGAATTCTGCTGCTCAAAACAACGAAAATCCTTGGCCACATTTGAAAGACTGCTTTTCATTTAAATTCAAAAGGGCCAACAGTATCTTCATGCAATGCCAGATGTGTCTGCCAAAGGTGACTGAACTAGCAGCATTCAATAACTCCACATCTAATCTGCGGAAGCATGTTTTGGTAAGTATTTAGTGCATTGGAACTTCAAACAAAGATTTTTCTTAATTAAAAACTAAATAGTTTTGGATTTATGACTCCTTGTCCTATTTTCACTACATGGGAGAGATCCCCTGCCCCGTTCAACAGTTTTTTTTTTAAATGTAACTAAGTAACTTTTACTTAAAATACATTTTAAATTAGCTACTTATTACTTTTACTTGAGTAATTTTTCTGATGTGTAATTTTACTTGTACTTGAGTAATATTTCATCCAAGTATTGGTAC